TATTCAAATCACAGGGGAGGTCCCTGTACTTGTCAGAAACCTCAAGGGAGGTGAGTGTAATTTACGCTTTTTTTAATTACTATGCATAAACATGTATGTATTTATTATTTTATTATAAAAAATACAAACATATATTTATTCATCAATTTAATAAATAAATGAGTTAAATGGTTCATGTTTAGGCATAAATTAAGACAATTATCTAATGATTAGATCATGACCAAGTTGAGATAAATATTGAGTCAATTGGATTATGTCACTTTTAGTGTCTAGTACATAATTATAAATCTTCAAGCCAACTCTTATATATTTTATTATAAAAAATACTAACATATATTTATTTATAAATTTAATAAATAAATGAGTTAAGTGGTTCATGTTTAGGCATAGATTAAGACAATTTTCTAATAATTAGGTTATGGCCAAGTTATAATAAATGTTGAATTAATTAGATTATGTCACTTTTGGTGTCTAACACAATTATAAATCCACAATAATTTTAAATATAAATTTAAAATTTTATCAAAGCTTTAATTTTTTTTAATAACTATATGTATACACATGTACATCTTTATTATTTTATTATAAAAAAAATATTAACATATATTTATTTACCAATTTAATAAATAAATGAGTTGGGTGGTTCATATTTAGGCATAAATTAAGACAATTCTCTAATGATTAGGTCATGACCAAATTGAGATAAATGTTGAGTCAATTAGATTATGTCACTTTTAGTGTCTAGCTTAACTATAAATCCTCAAACCAACTCTTATTCTTTTATATTCGTGAATTATGGCATAGGATAAATTATAATTTTATACCTAAGTAGACATATTTTTAAACTTTTACAAAATAGACGATGGGTAGTTAATAAATTGGCAAATATAATTTATTATATGATTTGGCTATCTTGACATAAAATAAACTAAATTGAAAAACTTATAAGACAAAATGTATTTATATTTCATTGCAATTTTTTTTTTTTTTTGTAATTTTATAGCACTTTTTTAAAAATACATTCTACCATAGTTTATTTTTTTCTTATAAATAAATTTTATGTTATTATGTAATTTTAAAATTAATTTTTAATTATTTATTTAAACCCCCACATAACACAAGTATTATGGTTTATAAAATAATTTTAAAAAATTACACCCATGCTATGAAAATCTGTTAAGCAAAGGTGAGTGAGAGAGAAGAATAAGAAAATGGCTCAATGTGAGATACTAAACTAGCGATTGTAAAAAAATCTTAAAGTTATACTTGGTAGGTAAATACTGATTTCAGAAAAGATAAGAGGATAAGAGTTACTGGTAATTCATTATTTGTCGTTTTCATTTTGTTATTTAATTTTTTGATTTAAAAAAATTTTGCTAGATTAAGTTTCACAAAAAAATTATTACTATTATATGGCAAACTAAAAAATGTAATTAGTAAATAATAATAATAATAATAATAATAATAATAATAATAATTGAGTTTCATATAGTTTACGATATTATCTAATATATGGCAAATTAAAATTATCAAACTCTTAGGGTGTGTTTGGTAACGTTTACGTTTTCAGTTTATATTTTCCAAATTTTTATAAACTGGTTTTTGTTTATTTTTAGAAAAACATAAACTACAAACGCGTTTGGTAATTGACAAAATGTTTAAAAAAAATTAATTATTAATTAATGTGATTCTTATCATCACATTATTACAAATAATTTTTTTAAAGATGATTATTATATGTCACATCAATAAATAAAAACATATAAATTTCAATATATGTTTGGTTTGATTTTTGAAAAGTTATTTTTAAATGATTATTTGTTTATTTTCAGTGATTTTTTCTTTGTATTTATTTCAATTTTTTTGTTCTTTTTATATGTATTTTATCAAGATGTATCAAAAAATAAAATAAATTGACTAAAAATATTTTTAAAAATCACTAAAAAAATTGAATAAAAATCTATGTGTATTTTTGTTCGAATTTTCGTTTGTTTTTAGTAATTTTTTAAATATTTTGATTACTTTTTTATTTTTGATGTATCTAATTTTTTTTTTGAATGACTAAAATATGAAATAAAAAAATATACTTTTTGAATTATCTAAATAAGTGTACTTTTTGACTTTTACAAAAAGATGTACAGAAAAGTAGAGAAGTGATGTGATGAAAAAAAGATAAAAAAAATAAAAAAGATGAATTATTTAAGGGATGCCAAACCATCCCTTAAACCAAACATATATTTTTTTAGGATTCTTTTGGTTTTGTTTTAAAATTGTGATTTAAGTGTTTTGAGTTTGAGTTTTTGAATCATGAATTTAAAAAAAAAAATTATTTGGTTATGATTTTTGAAAATAATTTTGAGATGATGTATAATTTTATTTTTTATTAATTGTTATATAAAATATGAGAGAATGTGAGAGAAGAGATGAGAGATTAGAAAAAAAAAGTAATTGATTGATTGATTAATTAAAAAAAAAAAAAATTATTTGGTTATGATTTTTGAAAATAATTTTGAGATGATGTATAATTTTATTTTTTATTAATTGTTATATAAAATATGGGAGAATGTGAGAGAAGAGATGAGAGATTAGAGAAAAAAAGTAATTGACTGATTAATTAATAATAATAATAATAAAGAAATTTTTTTAAATAATTTAAAATTATATTTTATTTAAATTATAATTTAAAAACAGAATTAAGTTTTTAATAAGTAAATCCAACCTTACCTTTATGCTGTGTTTGGTTAGGGGATTTGGAGAGAGATTTGGAAAGAGAAAGGGAAAAGGTGTGTGAAACTATGTGAAATATAGGCATGATTTATTCACATTTCACCTACCTTTTCTATTTTTCTTTCCAAATCCCCTCCCAAATCCCCTAACCAAACACAGCATTAGTTTTCCCTTTCATTTTAGACGTCATCTGAGACCCCTAAAGAAATTTTTTAAAATAATTTAAAATTATATTTTATTTAAATTATAATTTAAAAACAGAATTAAGTTTTTAATAATTAAATCAAACCTTACCTTTAGTTTTCCATTTCTTTTTAGACGTCATCTGAGACCCCTCTGTCTCTCTCTCTCCCTCCCTCCATTCATTCATTCACTTTGGTTACGTCAGCGAGCGAGAGATTGGGGTGAGGGGCCCACAAGTCCTGGAGTTCCACGTATGAAGTCTAAAGATGACGTAAGGTGGCATTAAATACACCGTCAAAGCATGTGATCGACGCCCAGACCCTCCCGGCAAATATCCAGCAATTCCGAGCGAGCTACCTTCATTACTCTCCTCATTTGCATTCTCCTACTCGCTGTATTTGTCCCGTGTGTTTCACTTGCTCTACTTTTTTAACCCACAATAATTTGGTTTCTGACTATTTTTATTTGATTTTTGTTTTCACAAATTAAAAAACAATTTCTGTCCAAAAGCCCAGTTTGGTATATTTTATTCAGCTTTTTTAAAAAATATATATATTTAGCAATAAATCTAATCTCACATACAAGTACTTTAATTAATTTTAAATTTTTTTTATTGATCTGTTAAGTTTTATTAATGGAGAATTTATTTTCGTGTGGTTCTATTTTTTATTTTGGTAATGTTTTGGTAGACAGTTATACCCTTTTATTAATATAAAAGATATGATGTGATACTCCAATGTGCCAAGTGTTAATGTGACACTTCAATCATGTGACACTACAAAAAAATTAAAGATTTCTTAGTGTACTTTTTCTCAAATGTGACAATGTGGCGGGCATAGTGTGATATTTTAAAACTTTTATTCTAAAAAAATTAAAAACTTCTTAATGTACTTTTCTCAAATGTCATGTGATACTCCAAAAAAATTAAAAATTTCTTAGTATATTTTTTTTCAAATATGACAACGTGACGAGTATGATATAACACTTTAAAAAATTAAAAACTTCTTAGTGTATTTTTTTAAAATGCGACATGTGACACTCTAACGTGAAAGGTATGATGTGATACTCTAAAAAAATTAAAAACTCTTTAGTGTACTTTTTCTAAATGTGACACTCCAACGTGACAAGTATGATATGACACTAAAAAATTCTTGAGTATACTTTTTTCAAATGTGATACGCAATGTAGCGGGTAAATAAGTCATTACATATTCAAAATGACTAAATAGATCACAAGAAAAAAAATATGAGGCTATTGAATTATAAGTCCAAAATATGAGACTTATTATTAAGCCCATTTGAGAACAATAATTGATATTATTTAAAAATTTAAGTACCTCTTAAAAAATAAGCTAAAATTTAAAAAAATTGTTAACCATATAAAACTACTTAATTCTGACTGAATTTATAAATATTAAACATAAATATCAGTATACATTATTTATAAACTCATTACCACCACTACTACCACTACTACTACCACCATCACCACAATCATCATACCATCACTATCACTACCACCATGCTACCGCCACCGCCACCGCAACCGTTACCGCTACCACTACTACTATTACAACAACCACCAATATCACCACCATCACCACTAATACTACTACCACACCACCATATCACTGCTACCATTACCACCATCATGCCGTCGCAATCACCACTATCACCACTATTACCATCACATTCATCACTATTGTTATTGTTGTAATGAACATCACTATAATTTTACAACTACTATCATTCCTACCACCATCACCATGCCACCTCTCCATTACCACTATCACCAACACTATGCCACTATATCGCTACCATCGTCATCACAATATAAAAATTAAAATATACAATTTAAAAATAATAATTTTCAAATTTTATTTTACAGATATTAAATAATTTATTTTTAATTCAACACATAAATTTTTACCAAATAACTTATCAAACTCCACCTAAGTCCCAAAGCACAATGGGGGTAGTGCGCGTGGGACAGTACTTCCCATTTACAAGTAGTGATAGCAGGAATTACGTAATACATGTTAGATTTATTATTATTATTATTATTTTGGATGTAACGAATCACACTCTTCCTCTTCCTCCCTCCTCTTCTTGCTTTCATTTATAAATCCCACTAAAAACGCCTCCAAACCCACTTGCCTCCCCCCCTCCCTCCTTCCCCGTTGACATAATTCTGTCTCTCTCTCTCTAAATCTCATTAGTCTTTCTCTCTATAAATTCCATTACCGGCGATGCAGGGTGTCCGGCGCTCCCATCAGCTATCCGACGGCGGAGTGCGGCTGGAGCTGACCCCCTCCAGCACCTCCCCTCTGGCCATCGACGTGGCCGAGTCAGCAGAGATGAGGATCCAAAGGCTCATATCAGAGAATCCAGTGATCATCTTCAGCAAATCCTCCTGCTGCATGTGCCACGTCATGAAGCGGCTCTTCTCGAAGATCGGCGTCCACCCCACCGTCATCCAATTGGACGACGACGAGATCTCCGCCCTCCCTTCCTCCTCCGCCGCCCCCGCCGTCTTCATCGGCGGCTCCCTCGTCGGCGGCCTCGAAAGCCTCTTCGCTCTCCACGTCAGCAATCAACTCGTCCCCAAACTCGTCCAAGTCGGCGCTCTTTCTCCACACGATGCGGTATTGTAATTTTTATTACTATTAGTATCAAAAGAGGAATTATTATTAGGAAAAACCAAAAAAAAAAACAAAAAAAAATATAATTAAAGGCCTATTTTCCTAGATTGTGTGAATGAATGAAGACCATCATAGAGTGAATGGATGGCTATGATCAGTTTTTTACTGCAAATCTTTTTGTGTCAAGGAAAGCAGTTTGGATTTGGATGCATATATATAGGGTTGTATATGATTGTTGAATAATTTGATTAATTAGTACTATTTTGCAAGGTTTATATGTATATATGTTTGAGAGAATTAGTCATACTTGTTAGATTAAAAGTTTTAATTTTTTTTATACATTTATTATGATTATTGACAGTCAAGTCCTTAACATTTTATTTTAAATAATGAGATCCTTCAAAAAGATTTTCTCTTCTTTGAATGTTTTCTGCAATGGTTTTACCGTGCTAATTTAACTGTCTATATTTTATGAGAAAACATATGGGAAATGAGAATAAGATTCTTGGTAATGGATCTACCTGCAATGGTATTGTTATGCTAATCTAACTGTATGAGTTTAAAGTTGAAGTAATGCTATCACGTTATCTTAGCTTGTATCATTTTTATTGTCATTATATTATATGTACTTGGCTGATTTATTGTCATTATATTATATGTACTTGGCTGATAAAAAAAATATAATAAGGTCATTACAGAAAAATAGAAAACCATGGAAAAGATTATGAATTGGTTTGATGAAATACCCAGCTAAAAGGCCTAACCAAATAGAGGGGTTAGACCCTATGGAGTTGAGGCCTCCGAGATAACCTTAAGTATTGCTACTTAATCATGTACAGGTAAGTCGCGAACTCGTAAACTCACAGAATTTAAACCCATACTTTTAATACTGGGTACAATTTGTCGAGACTTGAAAAATTCATCTTAGCAACTGTATGTGCTGACCCAGAAAAATGAAAAATCTTATTTTCTCTGAACCAAAAAAAGAATGAAATATTCAACTAGCTTACTCTTTTAGAATATTTTAGAGATTGTGCATGTCAATTTTTTTGCTTTAATTTAGGTTGGACATGTGTCTTGCTTAGATGCCATGGTGTGTAATATTTATGGTAATATGAGAAAGTAGTTGCAATTATTTCAAAGTTATTCAATCACGCATCTCTCTTTCTCTTTTTTTTTTTCTTTTAATTTAAGTGAGAGAGCACTAATTTTTTTATTTATTTAAAAACCATGAATATCCATTGAAGAATATTCTTTAATAGCTTATATAGAAGGTTCAAAACTATTGTTGGACCATCTTTTGGTTCATAACTCTGCTTGTTTTCTTGTCTTTTCCTTTACTGGCATACACTGATTTATATTTATATATTATGATTCTTGTAAGTGAGATTGAAGAATTTTAAGCTATACTTTAGTCTCATACAGCTCCAGAATTTGTCTGGTCTAGCTTGAGTCAAATGTACTTTTATCTGTATCTATTTTATACCAAACAGAATTTGATTCTCTTCCACTTTGAGAAAGAATCATGATGCGTTGTTTAAAAGTAAAAAAATGGTAATATCTGTGTAATGAATGGTTAAAATCTCGATATGCGGGTAAAAAGATTGTATAAAAAGTAAAATGTTAGTAACAAGTGTTCTTAAGATTAAAAATAAAGGGGTTATATTGATGTTCAAATAGTTTGTGTTAAGAGAAAGTGATGCACTGTTAATCTTTTGTTATATTGATGCTATAACTTTGCTCAATTTTTTTTTTTTAAATATATAAATAAAGGCATACATTGCACTAACCTCCCTCAACCTTGAGAGAAAATACAATTTTGACGTTAAGAGAAAATATAATTTTGATGTAATTGTATTGACTTTTTTGTGAGCGTTTGGGAAGTTGTTATTTTAGTAGGCTATTTTAGTTTTTAACTATTTTAGTAGGTTAAATTTTTTGTATTTTGAAAAATGATTGGATTTTTTTTGTAATTGGATGTGATGTTTGTGAGAGAAAAAATGAAATGATTATGGATTTGATGTGACATTTTGTCTTATTGACTATTTTAACTTATTTTGTTTTTTGTGAATTTTAGCCTAAAAAATGCTAAAATTTTTCTTGCCAAACACCCTCTTTCTAGTAAGGTTAAATGATCAAAAGTAATGCATGTGCTGTAAAAACACAAAAATAAATAATGTAAAATATATATTTTTTCATGTAAAATAGATGATAACACGATTTTTTATTTGTATAACTAATAAATTATTGATAAAAAAGAAATTAAATATCATATGAATTAAAATTTTAAAAAAACTTACTGTAATTATATAAAAATTATAAGATTTACTGTATTTTATTCAAATTTTAAAATAAGTCAATATAATTTACGGAGAAGACAAAAAAAAATGATACAAGACACTTTCTAATAAACTACACTAATGTATATTGTTAAACAAAAGGGAAAATTAAGGAAAAAAGTACCTGTATTATTGGGAGTGTTTGGCGTGGATTATAAGCAGTGATTACAGTTTATTTTAATTTAAAAATTTATGTTAAATTATTTGATGTAGTTTTTTCTTATAATTTTTTAGGTAGAAATAATTTAAATAAGATGAGAAAATTGATTATTTAGAAATTAAAAAGGTGCTTTTGATTTTTTCTTTCTGGTTATCAATTTTTAACTTACAATAAATTACATCAAACATCACCATTGTATAGGGATAATAATAATAATAATAATAATAATAATAATAATAATAATAAAATAATTTCAAAGTTGTTAATAATAACAAGGTATGCTAAATACCACCCATTTTAGAGAGAGAGATCTTTCCCAATTAAGGAAAAAGAAGACAAGGCCACAATGTATTGTGGGGGGAAGAGCTTTCAAACCCCACAAATTCATGTGAATGGGTCCTTTGGGTTTGGAAAGGACAGCTTAGTGATGACAACAACTACTACCACTAGTACATTAGATCATAAAAACTTTATTGATATTACACGTGGCTCACATCTAGCTGCTTGATGCATAAGCTTTCCCTTGGCCCCACCTAGAATCTAGTTACAAAGCTTAACCTAAGAAGAAGAATCTACCATTGATGAATCTTTGAAAAAGGCTACCAACCTCAAGTAAGTGAGTGGTTATTTGTATATTTTATGTTTTTTTAATTTTGCTCCTTTCTAACTATTGTTTTTGGGTAGGGTTACAACACTAGTCACCAACAAATTACGGGTTCTAATCGATTCGATTTAATTGAAATTAAGAAAATAAAATAAAAATTAATATTGAACCAAACTTTTTAATTTTGTTAATTGAGAATTTGAAATTGATTGAATGTTAAGTCTTAGTTATCGGTGTATCAATTTAGTACCAATGAAATATTTACAAAGAATTTTCAAAGTTTTAAAATTTGTAAAATTACATATCAAAAAAAATAAATAAAGAAAGAGGGTACTTTATAAATATTTTCTTTAGTTTTATTGCAAAACGTGTAATAGTAGTCTCAAAAATCATAATGTGAAAAATAGGCCACCAATCGAAATTTTGACCGGCCTCAAGCAGCTAATTTAGTTCAATTTTTATTGCTTTTTATTACACCTCTACCCATAAATTACATGTATGAATTAAAATTAAATTCAACACTAAAAGAATCAAATCTAAAATATTCAAGATTATGATTCATTTCAAGACAAATCCCTTTATTTCTAAATTATTTATCTGGATTATATTTTATATAATTATTTTTATGCTATGTTTGATTCATGAATTTGAGTAGAAATTTAGAAAGAAAAAATAAACAAGTGTATAAAATATAATTATATTTTATTCACATTTCACTTCTTTTTTTTTTTCTTTTTTTTTTCCCTTTCTTTTTTCAAATTTCTACAATGAACCAAAAACAATATTAAGGGAAGAATTAAGAGTTGGGCCAAACCATGTACCCCACTTAAAAGTTCCTTACTAATGGAATGGTTTGGTTTTCACACTTTGTGTCAAAATTGTCTAAAGTTCCAAAAGCCTCTTTAACTACTTTATCTTTAGAGGTGAAGTCATGGTTGCCATGGCTTCTTAATGAGGTTTTCACTTTAATTATATACACTTTAGTTTTTTTTTTTTTTTTTCATAGTTTTTTTTTGAAGCTTTACCTAACTGGACTGAGTTTGGTTTGAACCTATTGTTTACATTTTTTTTTTCTTCTGCTTAATAGTTGGAATCATCACTAGTTAATGCCTCGCTGGAAATATTTTGCAACCAATCAGAGAGTGGCACATCAGATTTTATTGCAATATGGAGGGCACACTCTCATCATTGTTAAAAGATAAACAAGTGAATTATTTACATAATCTTGCTTTAAGCACAAAAGGCAATTAGCACAGCATGGTGGATTGTGATTCAACATGAGAAAGTTTAAAGAACAAAAAAATCACATACAGAATAGACACGATGGTAAATGTAGACCTTAACGTGGCAAATCAAAAGCTGACTTACTGTTTATTTGATTCATTTTAGTACCAAAACCAATTAGCATGGCGTGGTAGATGATGGTTGAGTACACAAAAAAGGTTAATATATATAGTTGACACAATAGTAGATGTTGGCTCCACATGGCGAACCGGAGGCAAATTGAACTCTTAATTAGCTCATTTTAGCACCAAAACCAATTAGCATAGCATGCTGGATGAGCACAAAGAAAGTCCAAGGACACAAAAAAAATCATATACATAATAGACACAATAATAAATGTAGACCCCACATCGCAAATTGGAGGCCAAGCCCACCCTTAATTAGCTCAATTTAGCACCAAAATCAATTAGCATAGGATGGTTGATGGTGGTTAAGCATAAAAAAAATCTAAGGGCATATAAAAAAGAGTGGTGCTGTTAACACCTCATCTATTATTTTGGATTCTCTATTTTTTTGGACCTTTATTTATAAATTTTGAAACCTTGAAATTTTCTTTTCTCCTTCCAAATAATACCAAAATTATTCTTGTGTAAACATTTCATCCATTCAATTGAATTTACACCCCCCACACCCTAAAAAAACTCTCTTCCAAAAATCCTAACCAAAACCACGAAGAAAAAGAAGAGCCAAGTGTGATTGATGTCTCTCTCTCTCTCTCTCTCCTCATCCTTTTTTTTGGTGATTAATATTCGGTTACCGATTCCAAAACCAATAATAAATGTTTGGTTATCGGTTCCCGAACAAATAAATAATGTTCGGGTTTGTGTTCTCGAATTTCAGTCATATGTTCGGGAGTTCTGTCTCGAAAAAATGACGAACAAATTTTATTATTTTTGTCATTTTTTTTAAAGAAATTTACTATTATAAGGTCAATCTCCCCTGAGTTAAGAGCACCATTAAATCTATGAACTTCTTTTGAACTTTTATTATTGTACTACCTCTCGTTTCATGGAGTTATAGCTGTCGAAAAAACTTCCACTCATTATCATTACCAGAAAAGTCTAGGTAATCAAATGGTTGCTACTGTTGTCGCCAGAATATTGTCGCTAAAAGGTTTTCAAGGTTTTGAGGGTGAGTAAGTTTTGAAGGTGAGATTTAAGGAAGATAGATAGGTGGTGATGGAGGTAGGTGCTCTCATAAACCTTTATTCATGATGGAGTGATGTGTGAGTTTAATTGTGAGATGAGATGTTCTAAAATTAATGAGATCATTTTTAATAATTTTATTTGAGGTTATTATTGTAATAAGAAAAAAACTAAAAATTGAAATGTCTAAAATAATTCATGAGGTGCTAATAACAGCACTCATAAAAAATAAATAAATAGACACAATGGTAGATATAGGCCCCACGTGACAGACCGGAGACCGGGTCATTCTTCATTGGCTCATTTTAACACCAAGGGTAAACCAATTAACATACCATTGTGGATTGTGGTTGAGTATACAGATCAGGAAGAAAAAAACATACACAAAACAGAGATAATGATAAATTTAGGTCCCGCATCACAAATCAGAGGCTGATCCCACTCTTAATTGGTTCATTTTAGCACCAAAATCAATTATTATAACATGGTGGATGGTAGTTGAGCACACAGAAAGTTAATAGCAAAAAAAAAAAAAAAAAAATCATGTTCAAAATAAACAGAATAGTAGATATTGGTCCCACGTGACAAACCAACGGCCAAGCCTAATCTTAATTGGTTCATTTTAACACCCAAAAAAACCCTAATTGTTTAATGGCTGCATCATCTTCGTCATCATCATCATTACAAATTTTTAGTGCTTAAACATCCACTGTAACCATAAGAAAGAATTGCTTCCATTTAGTCAAATAGGATAGCACAGTTTGAAAGGACTCTGCATCATGTTAAATTTATTAAAAAAAATGGATCACATAAAAATAGGAAGAAAATCAAGTAAATGAAAGAAAATTAGACACCACAGTAGTGGCACTTTACTATGAAAAAATTCAACATAATTTGGCCCTAGTCTCCATATATAGCAGCTTCTTTAGGTCCATGCTGTTCACATTAATATGCTTATTAAATCTACAGTTAGATATGTAAATTTGGCCCACCTGGCCCAACCCATCGGATGGAACCCGATCCATCCCAGACCAAGCCTGGTACGTTCTGCCCAAACAGGCCGGGCATACCCATTTTCCCAGAATCCAAACCCAGTTCCCAAATAAAGAGGCATTGAAAAACAGTTTCTGATACAAGTAAGAAATCATCTGGTTTGTCTCTCAACAACATCGATGTTAAAGGATTAAGACCGTCTTAAGCTTTTGTAATGTAAGCTAAAGAGAAGAATAAAAAAAGCTTTCAGCAGTTTCAACTAGTACTTTTGTCTTTTGTTTCTTTGTTTTTTCTACATTACATTATCTCAAGTTGTGTTGGCCACGAATGACACATCTAACTTTACATCAAATTTCAGGTGTTTTTTTAAAGGGAAAAAAAAAACTATGAAATTTCACAGGTTGATGTCTACTTTTTGTTATTTTAGTATTTTCTGTTATGTTGCCTCTTATTAAAATGCTAAAGGAACTTTGTGTCACTTAAGTGCTTGCAAGGGAGAGGTTGGGGTTCAACTCCCTCTAAGAACTAATAATAACTGATTTTTGCCCAAAAATATAAGTGTGTGTCAAACCAAATACAGACCAAGCGCTGCAGTACTTTTAGACTGCGGTGGCAAAATAGGGCAGAGAAACATTTTCAAGCTTGTTTGGTTACTAAGAAAATTAGGAAGAACAAGAATATATGAGGCAACCATAGAATTACATGGCAGCCTCGGTTAAAATCTTGCTAACTACTACAATTTTCAATGTGACAGACACATGCACGGCTAGGATGATCTATTTGCTACACTGGACCCCTCTCAAAAGCAAAAGCGATTGTAGTTCTCTATGTATCTAAACACATCCGAAGTAGGGGAAAAAAAAAAGAAAAACAGTACCTTCCTGTGTTAGAGCACCTCACGAATCCCTAGCAATGTGCCATCCCCCAATCCTCGGCTCAGGCCCCCGTGGTATGACTCCAACAGGAACCAACATCCAATCTACTGCGGACATGAACTCACAAGTCTGGTTCCTCCAACCAGCCTGCATGCATTCAACCTTCAACAAGTCTCACAAACACAATCATCACTGTTTTAAAAGGGATGTAAACAGAAAAACAATGCCATTATGCTGGATCAAGCACATCTGCCTCATTCTTGGAATGAGAAAATTTTATAAAAGGATGATATGATGATCAACATTCATAATAGAATTCCAACTAGTTTCTGTACTTCCATTTGTCAACAAAAAAATCAGGGAGTAATCTCCAGAGCCTCAAAAAGGTTCGTGGCAAATGGGCCATCCTCATCTATAGATACACATCACATATCAACTCTATTGCCCTCGTTTGTGTAGCAAAAAGATTTCAGTTTCTCTATCATTTCCTTATCCTACTCTAAATCCTTTAGCTGAGTCAATGTATTGAAAAAATGAAAAAAAAAATGAAAAAAATTTCTTCTACAATCCACCCTAATTCATAAACTTTTTCACCTCATCATACAAAACCAATATGGCAGCAGCACCAATACTCCTAAACGCATTTGAAAGGGCCCCGTGGTAAAATGAAGCCACACCCTCCGTCTGATAAATCTTTCTCCAGCAATCAAGGGTGCTTCTGTACATTGGCAGGTCTAAGCCAGATTGCATCATGATCCGCCTCCTAACTGTATCCAGTGGATATGAAACCAATCCAGCAGATGTTGTGGCCGCCTGAGCTGCCACCCAACGCTTCCATAATGCCACCTCCGGTTTAGATTCTTCTGACATCATCTCTTTTATGGTATCAAAACCTCCGAAGTAAAGGCTCCGGTGAATAACCATCCCGTGAAGAGATGCAGGAAGGCCCCTGTAAATTCCTCGGATTCCATCTTTCTTGTATATGGTACTCAGGAAATGAGAGATGCCTTGGAACTGACGAGCCTCAAGTCTTCCAAGATCAGAAGCGAGGCGGGTATGTGCAATATCAAGTGGGTAGATGATGACCAATGTTGTACAACCAGCTGCGCCACCAGCGATAAAATTGGAAGATGGCCCAGACACAAAATGGCTCTCTTGAGAGTTGCCACTTCGTAAGACGTTTTTATAGAGATCCTGAGAAGAGAAATAATTGGTCAAGGCCATAAACTCATTATAAAATCCTTCAAAATATTTGAACTTTGGATGGAACCAAAGAGCTGGTTTTAATAAAGTACATATAAAGGCATGCTTGTGTTAACAAGAACTTCAAGACTGAAATTAAATTAGTAGGAAAGTTTTTATAAAACTTTGCTAGTAATCACATCACGAAACAAAAGTAATTCCCAATACAAGTATGTAACACCTCATTGTACACACATAGAGCTTGAGAGAGTTTTGATAAAAATAAATGCCCCCTTCAAAACTAGGGGTGTGCATAATACCGTCAAAACCGCCGAAACCGTCAAAACCGCACCGAACCGCACCGCCAAGGCAAATTTGTTATTATTTGCCAATTGAACCGCCGATTTTTGGTAAGAAAAATGGCAAATTCTAGTGACACTTTTATCAATCCGTCGGTTTCTATTTTTCTTCCAAACCGCACCGACTCGCACCGCTATTAAATCATGTTTTATAAGATTTTAAAAATTCTTTTTTACTTAAGTTTGCTTGTTGTTCTATACCTTAGAATATAGTATTACATTACTGCTCGAGGGGAATTTTATGTATTGTATATGATCATTGTAGCTTCCACAGATACTTGTAATGAACTGATGGCATAATTGTTGATTTTATCATGTTGTTGCTACACTTACTGCATCAGAAGAAAATTTCGCAAGATGCTTAATATCACGGTATCTCTCGTCTTTTTTTTACTCTTTGATTTAAGTTTTGTAATTTGAATTATATTTTTTATAAACCGCCAATCTGCCCAAACCACCAAGGCAAATCCGCCATTATTTGCCAACCGAACCGCCGGTTTTTGATAAGGAAAATGACAAATTCTAGTGACACTTTTATCAATCCGCCACCCGCTATACGGTTTTTATTTTTCTCTCAAACCGCACCGACCCGCACTGCGCACACCCCTATTCAAAACTATTTCTTGATACACAATGGCGGTGCTTGGGAACCTAGCTTTAAGGCTAAAATCTGTGTTACATGGACTCGCCACTTTGGGGCGAAGTACCCGTGTCGACACGACACGACACGACACGACACGGGTACGGGTGTGAGATCTGTGTCGGATTCGTCTGTTCTCTCTCGGACACGGCTCTTCATAAAGCAAAAGAAATGAAAGAGGAGAGAGCAAGAAACCTGGTCGAAGCTCCATCCAGTCGAAGATCGAAGACCCCCAGTCGAAGCTCTATCCGGTCGATCCAGTCGAAGATCGAAGCTTCATCAGTCAATCGAAGCTCCATCAGGCGATCGAAGCTCCATCCAGTCTCTCTCTCTCGCCTTCTCTCTCTCCCTCGCGATCGCGATCGCTTCGCCTTTTCTCCCTCTCCCTCTCTCTGTCGTTTATCTTCTTCCTGACTCCTCTGTCTATCTATTCGTATCTATCTATATCTATTATTATAATAACTATAATAATAATAATAGTTAATAACTATAATAATAAATATATAAACTATTAATAGTTAATAACTATAATAATTAATTAATAACTATAATAATAAATATTATTATTATATATTATATTTATTATATAACATATAATATATTTATTAAATGGACATTGATTAGATGTGAAAGTGAATACAATAATAAGATTAACAAATGATACTGCCCAGTCTAAACATATTTTTTTCCTTTTTTGGAGGTGGGTGGGGAATATATTATTAACCACACCATCAAACCCACTAACTTGCAGGGGATACAACAAGCAATAAATGGAATGAACCATTATGACTTATAGAATATACCAGCAGTATACAATTTAATGAACTCAAATCGTACAATCAAACACTCTCTAATTGCTATTGATCAAATATCTATTAATGCGTGGAAGCATTAGGGAAAGTAAACAACTTCCACTAACAAATGAAATATGAGACATCAAAGCAAATACCATCCTACACGAAGAAAAAAAAAAAAAATGTCCTTCAATTTTTTTCCACAATGTTCACCCTCAACATTTTAAAATCACTAAAACAATACAAACACATTAATAGCTATGCAATGTTTAAAACATTTCTCCATTACCAAAACCAAATTTTAACCAATGCTATTTCATGAAGCCCATAAAAAAATAAAAAAATAAAAAAATAAAAAAAATTGGCGGGCAGTGGGCTGTCACTGTGACTGTGTAGGCACAACCTACCACTATCACAGTGACAGGTAGGTAAATTACAATTTTACCCCTTTAGATTAATTTTGGAAAATGTGAGGTTAGGGACAAATTTATTATTTTAACTTCAAATATCATTTCTACACATTTTTCAACACACCAACTCAAATAAAAATCCATCATATCTTCTCAAACACAAAAACTAAAATAGCCTACTAAAATAGCCAAAAGGCCAAAAAAAAACCTCTAAAATAGCCACTTCCCAAACACCCACAATATTTCAAAAACCTTTCCCATTCTACTGCAACAGATCAATAATATCTGTATATCAACTGGCAATTACTGTGTCAATATTGAAATATAGCCCTCGTATATATATATATATATATATATTTGTGTGTGTGTGTGTGGAGAGAGAGAGAGAGAGAGAGGCATTTTGGCAAAGTGTATTATCATTCACAACGAATTTTGCAGTTGCCCAAATTAGTCAACACTAATGCATGCAGAGGTTATAGGAGGAAACAGCAACTGCAAGTGTTACTACAATAGAATACTTTCCTAAACATAATGGTCTCTATGCTAGGGATTGAAATACAACTTCAGAGGTGTATTGTGGGAGCACCATAAGTTAATATCGTTTTGTGTATTTTGCTCTTGAGGAAGAGATCTATTGTTGCCCCATAAGGTTCTCAAGGATGCCAAGAAGAATTATTGGAACCATACCAGTCATTTTTTTATTTTAGTTGTGTTGGCACATAAATTTTAAACCAAATTTATGTTTAAATTTCAAATACAGTCAATGACACACATAGAGCCTACAATAAGATTGTTGTAGGCAATCACTTCCCAAAATGATTAACCTGCTCCGTTGAAGTGTATAAATAAAATAACGTCGTCTCTTAACGACGTTATTCAAGATGCTCAAATGACACGTGGAGCCTACGAAAGATGACACCTGTAGAGCCTACAGCAAGGACACCACACAGGATAAAACCCCAAAGATCAATTCGATTAATCAGATATATGATTAATCAGATAGCGCTATTATTCAAAATTCAAATAGGCGCTATCATTCAATTTGAAATTCAAAATGAAGATGAAGTGTTCCTATCACTTGATGGCCCTCCATAAATATGAGGACCATCACACAAGACGAGGGATCGAAAAATCAAAAAGAGAAAAGATCAGAGAGAGAGAGAGAAAGAAATTGAGAGCTCTAAACAAATCGTTACAAGAAAGAAGAAGAGAAGCCTAGAGAACTCAAGAGCCTACGCTAATGGCGATGAATAGGTAAAGGGTTCCAAACCCAAACTGTATTTTGTATTCGAGGGTTCAAAACCCATAACAATCTCAATAAAATATTTTTTTTTTTTCTTAAATTGTCTTTTGTTGTTTATTTTGTTCTTCATTAATCGGAGGTTTCATTTGTATAAAATGTGTAATTAACGATCTGAAATACAGATCGAAAATAAGAACCTACTATTCAAATAATCAACACTGTTTAGTCCAAAAAACTAAACAGTGGATATTTGTAACATAAATTTTGAAATGTGTTTAAAAACTTCATGTTTTAAAATTTGTGTCTACAAATTCTGGCACGCCCAGTGGGACCTTATTTCTCCTCCCATCTTTTGAAGAACAAAATATATAAATATATATATATAGTTGAAACTTACTGACGTATTCTTTTGTTATAGGAATGCTGAAGCAACTGTTAGGAGACAACTCGACAAGGTTTGAATAAGGAACACTCGTTGGCTCGACAAGGTTTGAATAAGGAACACTCGTTGGCTCGACAAGGTTTGAATAAGGAACACTCGTTGGCTCGACAAGGTTTGAATAAGGAACACTCGTTGGCTCGACAAGGTTTGAATAAGGAACACTCGTTGGCTCGACAAGGTTTGAATAAGGAACACTCGTTGGCTCGACAAGGTTTGAATAAGGAACACTCGTTGGCTCGACAAGGTTTGAATAAGGAACACTCGTTGGCTCGACAAGGTTTGAATAAGGAACACTCGTTGGCTCGACAAGGTTTGAATAAGGAACACTCGTTGGCTCGACAAGGTTTGAATAAGGAACACTCGTTGGCTCGACAAGGTTTGAATAAGGAACACTCGTTGGCTCGACAAGGTTTGAATAAGGAACACTCGTTGGCTCGACAAGGTTTGAATAAGGAACACTCGTTGGCTCGACAAGGTTTGAATAAGGAACACTCGTTGGCTCGACAAGGTTTGAATAAGGAACACTCGTTGGCTCGACAAGGTTTGAATAAGGAACACTCGTTGGCTCGACAAGGTTTGAATAAGGAACACTCGTTGGCTCGACAAGGTTTGAATAAGGAACACTCGTTGGCTCGACAAGGTTTGAATAAGGAACACTCGTTGGCTCGACAGGGTTCGAATAAGGAACACCCGTTGGCTCGATGGGGTTCGAATAAGGAACACCCGTTGGCCCGACAGAATAAGGAACATCTGTTGGCCCAACGGGATTTGAATCAACATCAATTGGTCCACTCTAAAAATGTAGGGACTGTTTTGAAAATTCATGAGTTTGCAAAAACGCAAACGGTTCCTTCTATGCCCCTGGGGGCTCAACTTGATATGCCATTCGGTCCAGTTTCGAAAAGACAAAGGCGAAGAAGAAATAAGGCTTTAAAGAAACTGGAACTAAGAACAGTGGCAACAAATGTTATAGGAGCTATTGAAAGGGCTCTCTCGAGAGATGAATGCCAAAAACAAATTGAAAGTCCTGTCTTTGTTGGAAAATCCAAGGTGGAGGAGGGTAAGCAACCCTTGGGAAATATTTCTACTTTGGTTGAACTATCTATTGAGGGAATAAGAAAAGGGCCTGTGACAAGGTCCATAACCCGTCAGGC